ATTCTTTGTTTAGATATATTCTTAAATAATTTTATAAATTTTTATTTTATTTTTAATATTTTTTTAATTATTATGTATATAATATTAAAATAATAACACTAATAATAAATTGTTTATGAAGATTTGATTCAAATTTTTTTTCTAAAAAAAATAAATACATTTGTTTCAGGTTTTCTTGAAGTAATAAAAATATTTTAAACATGATTTATAATATTTATAATCATTTTAGCTTTTAATCACACATAAAATATGAACATATTATTTTGATATTTTAAACTTACTTTAGCAATAATAAAATATACATTATTTTTAATAAAAACATCAATTTCAATTAATAACATTGTATTCACCAAGATAAACAAGAGATAGGTTAATATGAAAAATGATTTTAGACGTAAGAAATACCTGAGAAATACTAATACTGTGCTTATTTAGAATAACTTATATTTTAACAAAAACAAAAAAATTATTGTTTTATAATTAGACAACTTTTTTTTGAAAAGCTTCATGTTATATAATATTAAATATCTTAATATGTATCTTCATCTCAATTTTCTAACTCAATTCTTAATTTAAATTAATAAATTTATTATTATTTATTAACTCGTATAATTTTTTATTTAGTTTATTGAGCGAACAAATTAATATTTTATTTTGCAATAAAAATTTATCTTAATAGGATTTTTTTTATTTTGAGGTATAACAATAATGTTAAAGAATTCATTGAGACTTTTGTGTGTATTATTTTTTTATTTAAAAAATTTGAGTCCCTCACAATATATCACAATATAGTGCCAATGTACAAATTAATAATAGCTAATGGGATAACATGTTTGAAACCAATCATTTATTATAATTAAATTCAATTATAGTATTTAATTTAAATTTAATTAATAAATTAATTGAATTCATATATCTAGAAGAAATAAGATTTTATTTATTTTATTTTTTATATTACCAATCATCACCTTTATTTTTTTTTGTTAAAAGTCTTGCAAAAAAAAAGTAGGTGGTATTAAATAATATATATTTAGTTTTATTTTGTAAGGATAAAATAATATTTTCAGTTTAATTTATATATAATTTCTTTATATTTAAGTTAATTTTAAGTATTTATAATAAATAAATTATTGAGAATTCTAGTATATTTTTTGTTTAATGTAAATTATTTTAATATAGTATTAAAGTTGATTTTATAAAACAATATTTAATTCTAAACATTACTTTTACAAATCTAACTCAGGAATGAGTTGGATAGGGTTTAACAGGTGAATAAATATTTTTTTAAAAAATTAATTTTAATATTAAATTTTTATTTTTTAGAATTGTAAATAATATAAATTTATCTTTAATTTATTTTTTTATTCTTTTTAAATAATAAACTTTATTTAAAATTTAATTTTTTTTACCATCAAAATAATTTTACACGTGAAAATTCATTAAAATATTTAATTTAATTTAGAGCGCTCGAAACATTCTTTGAGGAGTTCAGACAATTGTTGTCAGTAAAAATATCCTTAAAAACAACCCGCCCAATAATGAAACTGAGAATTCCGAAAAAGCCCCTTACTCTACATGTTACCTACAGGCAGCGAACAAAGATCATGACAGCCAACCATCAGCTTCGCTCCTAATCCCCTCTCTCAGTCTAAACATTATCTTATAATTAAGCAATCATCATCCACATTAAGGTAACCCTCTTAATTAATTTCTTTCACATATCACCCTCATTATTACAGACCTCACCGGAATAACCGCACGCAGCTGTCACCGGAAGCAAAATATAAATAACATACCACCTCCCCACTCCCCCCCCTCAAGAAAATAAAAATATAAACCCCTCTGTTTCACTCTCTAGAAACCAGCTGGGACCGAGGGGAACTTCATTTTGACTTGCATTTCAATGAAGCTTCTCTAAGAGCTCTCCCTCTCGAAAACAAAATTCTTTTATTGAAGTGATTTTTTGTGTTTAAAAAGCAAATACAGAATGGGATGTGCTGGATCCTCACAAGCCAAAACAGACGGTAACCTCACTCTATCGTCTCTTTTTCTCTCACCCCTTCTATTTCTCTTTGTCTGTTTGGCAGCCGAGAAACCTCAAGGAAAAAAATTAATCAAGAATACATAATGTTTTGGATTTTTTTATTATTATCAAAAGGAAAAGAAAAGGGCAGAAACTAATCGTAACTGATTTTGGACGTTATTTGTTGCATTAACAAGATTGCTAGTTTTCTGTTTTATGTACTGTTATTACATGCACGTGGTGACTTCTGAAACGTGGATGACAGAGAGAGTGATTTAGTGATGGTGATTATAGTTTTTCAGATTTAATTACTACTTAAATGTGAGATTTCTTAATATCAGGATTTAATTTAGGTCAAAATGCTTCTCTTTTTGAATTTGAGATTTTCTCTATTGAAATTAAAAACAAATAATTTAATTTCTTTGCGAAACAGAAACAGAAAGTTGAAGATTTCATTCATTTTGGAACACATTCAAGAACTGAATGTTTGACTGAATACCGTGGTTGCTTTCTTTTTCTCGTAAAGAGTTTTAATACGGATTTTTAAATTGATAAAACCCAATGAATTGGAATGAGTATAATTTGTTATCGGTGCGAGACCTCTGTTTGATTTTGAAGGGCTATGGATGATTGGTTCAGTCTTTTCGTGTTATCTATTAAGCCTGCTATCATGCAAGAAGATTGAGACCAATCAATGATTTGAGCGGCATTTTAACTAGCTTCAAATTACAGTTATAGGCGAGTTTATTATTGTCCGGATTTAGGATTTGAGGTGATCGAATTACCAAACAGATGTACTAGTTGTATATCAACTGTAAAATATATTATACAGCTTCGGTTCCAGCTTAGCTTCCATTTATGCAAGTCTTGAAAAGCTTTAATTACTGCAATTTCGTTAAAATGTGCTTGTTTTTAATGAGTTCTAATTAGCATGTTTGGTAAGTGTGTTCTGTATGCACATGTAACAG